ATTGGTCCAGGCAATGATTTTTTGAATATGATCCCAAAAGCATAGGCAGCTAAAGAAAAATAGAAAAATAGATGGCATCAAAAACAAACAAACAAACAAAAAACTTCTGTCCAGTGAAGGCAATAATCAGCAGAGTGAAGAGACAATCCAGGAAATGGGAGAAAACACCTGCAATCATGCATCTAATAATGGAGATAGCCTAAGTAAAATAAGGAACTCACCTTAATAGCAAGAACTCAAAAAAAAAAAAAAAAAAACGAATTAGAAAATGGACAAAGGACTTGAAACTTGAATAGACATTTCTCAAACAAAGACGCATGCTATGATTTAGGGGTAGGAAGTGATAGGGAGCCTCAAAAATGTTGGTCATATCCTGTTTGTTTACTTTTTCTTTCTTTCTTTTTTTTTTCTTTTTTTTTTCTTTTTTTTTTTTTTTTTTGACAGGCAGAGTTAGACAGTGAGAGAGAGAGAGACAGAGAGAAAGGTCTTCCTTCCATTGGTTCACCCCCAAATGGCCGTTACGGCCGGCATGCTGCGCCGATCCAAAGCCAGGAGCCAGGTGCTTCCTCCTGGTCTCCCATGCGGGCGCAGGGCCCAAGCACTTGGGCCATCCTCCACTGCCTTCCCCGGGCCACAGCAGAGAGCTGAACTGGAAGAGGAGCAACCGGGACTAGAACCCGGCACCCATATGAGATGCCGGAGCCACAGGCGGAGGATTAACCAAGTGAACCATGGCACCAGCCATATCCTGTTTCTTAATCTGGCTGATAGGTTCATGGCAATTTGCTTATTTTATTGTTATTTCACTGCCATAATATCTTTTGTATTACATATGTGTGATATATTTTACTAAAGATGTATTTTACTTTAAAAAGAAAATATAGTTGTTATTTCTCTCATCTTACTATTTTCTTTTCTTTAGAAAGAGAAAATTATTGGACTGGGCCTTTGTCCTGTCTTGTCTTGTATTTTCCCAATACTATTTAGTATCCTGTATGTTTCCTCTGAGAGGCTACAGCACTGGAGCAATTCTGGAATTCATTTCCATCTCTCTGAGCGAGAATTTCAATGTCTAACTCCCAGCAATGGTAATGGCCGTAGTGAAATTCATGATTCCTTGTTTATGGAGATGAGAATATAGCCTACCTGATAACAAAAATGATTGAGTAGAATTATTTATTTCTTGAAATTGTACCAAGGGAGGATGTGTCCTCTATTTCCTTTCCAATTGAATTATTTAAAGTAAGGCTTGAAAGCCATCATAAAATGACCTCATACCCAAATATAAAGGCTATATCATCAATTTTAGAAAGGCCCCTTGCTCACTTATTGCCTAAGAGGACTGCAAGATTGACAGTAAAAATTTCTCTATCTCCCTTCTAGGTCATATTTTACTAATATAAATTCAAGAGGTTGAAAATTTCATAAGATAGAAAGTGCCAGCGAGGAAAATGGAAATGTGGCAAGAAATAAGTGTTTCATGTGTTTTAGTAATATTAGAAAAGCTGTAGATTATAGAGCTCCATCAGATGGAGTGCTATCTTTCACTGCTTTCCTTTGCCATTATTACTGAAAATAATATTTTATTACAGTTTCAATTTGGTTACATCTTTGCTTATAACCATATTAATACATAATAAAGTTATATATTTGAGCAAAATTCTATCTCCCCAAAAAACCTGTATATCAACTTGAGTATGAAATATTTTACAGCTGGAAATGTGAATTATTATAGAAGCAATTTAAAATATAATGGGCTAGTAAATGATACTTTCACTTAGTAACTAATAAAAACACAGATAATCAAATATTTATGAAATTACTATTTAGACACAGCTCCACAAATTATAAAACTGCATTAATATCCCACTCTTATATTTAACAGTGATCACTTTTCAGTTAAGTTTCAGCACTTAAGAATAATTGTGTATTGATTACAGTATTCAACCAAAAGTATTAAGTAGAACAAACAAAAAAATACTAAGAGGGATAACATATTAAGTTGCTCATCAACAGTCAGGGTGAGGGCTGATCAAGTCACCGTTTCTCAAAGAGATGTGCAATTCAGGACATGCTCAAGCTGACTTACCTCAAACGGTAGAGTTAGAAACATACCAGGGGATTCCAATTCAATCCCATCAAGGTGGCGTTTACCAATGCCATCTCACTAGTCCCAGTGATCAATTTCTGTTCACAATTGATCATAATAATAGGACTAAGAACCAAAGCGATCACATAAACAAGAATAGTGTCTGCAAGTACTAGCTGATAGAATAAAAAAGGGAGAGAACGATCCAACATGGGAAGTGAGATACACAGCAGACCCATAAAATGGCAGATGTCCTAAACAGCACTCTGGCCTCAGAATCAGCCCTTAAGGCATGCAAATCCGGCTGAAATGCCCATGAGAGTATTTCAGGCATGGAAAGCCAAGACACTCTGGGGGAAAAAAAAAAAAACTAAATGAAAGATCTCCTCGAGTGAGATCCCAGTGGAAAGAATGGGTCATCAAAGAAGGAGATACCTTTCTCTGAAGGGAGGAGAGAACTTCCACTTTGACCATGGCCTTGTCTAAAAATGATCAGAGTCGGTGAACTCAGGGGGCTTCCATAGCCTTGGTAGCTCATGACAAGAGCCTAGGGTGATTACTGAGGCCATAAACAAGAGTGTCAATTTGTTAAGTCAACAACAGGAGTCACTGTGCACTTACTCCTCATGTAGGATCTTTGTCCTTAGTGTGCTGTACATTGAGATTTAATGCTATAACTAGTACTCAAACAGTATTTTTCACTTTATGTTTCTGTGTGGGAGCAAACTGTTGAAATCTTTACTTAATATATGCTAAACTGATCTTCTGTATATAAAGAGAATTGAAAATGAATCTTGATGTGAATGGAAAGGGAGAGGGAGCGGGAAAGGGGAGGGTTGCCAGAGGGAGGGATGTTATGGGGGGGAAGCCATTGTAATCCATAAGCTGTACTTTGGAAATTTATATTCATTAAATAAAAGTTAAAAAAAACTGCATTAATTTCAATTACTAGCTTGGTTTTCTTTTCTGAACCTGATATAGGACTAGAAGTAATCAATGTAAAAATTGAAGTAATTCTTTCATTGACTTCTGTATTATTTAGAAATCTTAAGAATATATTTTATCCCCTCTGGTTATCTGAGAGATGAAGAAGCAGCTGTATAAAGGTGATTTTGATTGTGTCGGCTATTTTCTCACAGTAACAAATGACTATCAGAATGGGAATTTCAGAAAGATAGGTTACCTATTTCTTATTTGGTCATTACAGCTAAAAGGGGATTCCCATTTTTTTACATAGTAAGTTTGATTATTTATATGAGTTAAACCACAGATAATCCTATCCTAAGTGATGGATGATTTTTAAATTTTTACTTCAAGATACTGGTTTGCATTTTAAATAATATATATATACATTTACCCAAATGTCAAAGTTGTTTTCATATGTAGTGAAATGCTACTTAACGCTACTGTAACTCCTCGCAGTTAGCACAATCCAGTCATCTCTATTTTGCTGGTGACAAAACCAGACTCACGACAATTCAGTAAATTGTGCAACTGTCTTGGCTCATGACACATACAGCACTGGAGTCTTTGGTTTGTTTCTGGAGTCAGTGTCTATTACATTTCTATTTCTGATGTTTATCTTAAGACAAAAATAAAAAAATTATGTCATCTTACTGAATTTCATCTTTAGAGGTTCTGGTAGGCTAAATAATGGCCATCCAAAGATGACAGGTGCTAATCCTTAGAACCTATGAATGTTACCTTATAAGGAAGAGGTGTCTTTATAAACTGAGGAAGTTAAGACTGTTGAGATGGGGAGATTATCCTGGTGGGCCCCAAATCCAGTCATGAGTGTGCTTATGACAGAGGCAGGGAAAAAAAAGAATGAAATCCTGTCTTTGGAAGAAAATGGATGCGACTGGAGACCATTATGCTTAGTGAAAGAAGCCAGTCCCCAGAAGACAAATATCATATGCTTTCTCTGATACATGGTAGTTATTACAGAATTTGATTTGATTATTGTTTTAGCCCTTGTCTATACTCCTGGGGAACTGTGGCCTTTCTACTGTTTACTTACTGAACATTATGGTTAGAGTACATTTAGCCTGAGATTATAAAGTAAATTGAAATTATGTTATTGTAAAAATTAAAGAGAAAACAAGAAAGGATGGAAAGGGAACTGAGGGAGGAAGAGAGGGAGGGAAGAATGATTATATTCTTAGAATTGTACCTATAGAATACATGAAATCTGTTCTCTTTATACTAATAAAAATTAAAAAGAGAAAGAGGCAAGGGGGACCTGGCACAGATACAAGAGAAGCAGAGAAGACAATGTGACGCAGGTGACAAAGCTTGCAATGATCAAGCCACAAACATGGGACTGTCTCCAGCCTCAAGAAATTGGAAGAGGGGCAAGAAATGGATTCTTCCCAAGAGCCTTCAGAGGAAGCACCATCTCACGAACATCCTGATTCCAAACCATGGAACTGACGTTGAACTTCAGCCCTCCCCAACTGCGAAAGGACGCCGTTCTCTCATTTTCAAGCACCAATATTGTGGTGATCTGCTAGGGAAACTCTAGGAAACGAATGCAGAGATGCTATCTGCATTTTGCATCCCCTGCTGCACTCTGTGCAATTGACTTGAGCCTCTATTTTGGAACAGATGGGTTCTGAAGAAGTTTGTTAAAATTTTCCCAGAATATAGTTGAAGTGTTAAGGTTCCAACACGTCTCTACAAGGACATCTGTTCTCTGAAAATTAATAGGGAATGTAGACAAGTTTAAAAAAGAAACACTTCAATGGAGTAGATACTGTTAATTCATAGTAAAAGAAACGCTTGTCCTTGATAAGCTACAATGTGCTAATCCATCTAAGGAAAACCAGGAGCTTATTATGTATTCCTCTGAATGCCCAATACTCAAAATTTCACAGTAAACAAAGTTTTTTTTTTTTTTTTTCCTTTACAGGAAGAATTTTGGAACTATCCTGTCTGAAGGTTTGTTTACAACCCAATCCCACCTATTCTCTTTCCTCCTCAAATTTTTCTCTGGTGACTTTTCTGCAAGCAGTAAGAGAAGCTCAGATTATCTTGGGAATCTTTGTAAATCACTCCAGCTTCCAAAACGTCACCAGGATCTGCCAAGACATCACAAGAGAACTTAAAATGTGCTCTTCGTGTTTGGTTTGTGAACCTAAAGGAAATGTGGATTTTATTTCCCAGGAACACACATCAAAAGGTAAATACAAAGTGAAAGTAAGGACGAGAAATATCAAGTATAAATGAACTTTTCCTGTTAAATATATTAACATTTCCTCTGGAACATTCTGTGGTGTGGTTTTTGACGGGCAACCTACTGGGCTTTGAGGTATAACTTGTTTTATTTATTGAAAGACTTTTTTTTTTTTTAAATTTTTGACAGGCACAGTGGACAGTGAGAGAGAGAGAGAGGGACAGAGAGAAAGGTCTTCCTTTACCGTTGGTCCACCCTCCAATGGCTGCTGCAGCTGGCGCACTGCGCAGATCCGAAGCCAGGAGCCAGGTACCTCTCCTGGTCTCCCATGCAGGTGCAGGGCCCAAGCACTTGGGCCATCCTCCACTGCACTCCTGGGCCACAGCAGAGAGCTGGCCTGGAAGAGGAGCAACCGGGAAAGAATCTGGCCCCTACCGGGACTAGAACCCGGTGTGCCGGCGCCGCAGGCGGAGGATTAGCCTATTGAGCCACGGCGCCAGCCTTGAAAGACTTTTAAAACATCAAAATGTCATGATGATGCACATACATTTGATGGTTAAAGATTCTTCAGCATGATCTCTTTAAAGGAGTGAATTTTTAAAAACACAATTCTAAGAAACCCATAGTCTTTCATAACGACATCAAACTTTGATTTACAGCAGAGTCATTGAACCCTCACACATTTGTCCCTACTCCTGCCTGACATTTATCCACTAAATATGAATCGCCTTGCATTTGTCTTACAATCAGCATCTTGAGGGCTGGGCCTTCGTCTTGGTTCAGTACCTTATTTCTAGCTGTAAGTATGATGCCTCATCTAACACATAGTAGGCACTCAATAGGCGTTTGTTGACAGAGCAAATAGAATCACTACATATTATGCACAGTGCCTAACTGAATCTTGTACTTACTATGAGATCGATTTATATTATTTAGTTTAATTGAATTGGGTCATTGTGAAATAATTCATTCACAGTCTTAACATCTGCTGGTGACCTCCAGCCCACATATTAACAATATTGCTGGGACCGGCGCTACAGCGTAGCAGGTAAAGCTGTCGCCTGCAGTGCCGGCATCCAATATGGGCGCCAGTTTGTGTTCTGGCTACTCCACTTCCAGTCCAGCTCTCTGCTGTGGCCTCGGAAAGCAGTAGAAGATGGCCCAAGTCCTTGGGCCTCTGTACCCATGTGGGAGACCCTGAGGAAGCTCCTGGCTCCTGGCTTTGGACTGGCCCAGTTCCGGTCATTGTGGCCAATTGGGAGTGAACCATCAGATGGAAGACCTCTCTCTCTCTCTCTCTCTCTCTCTCTCTGCCTTTCCTCTCTCTGTGTAACCCTGACTTTCAAGTAAATAAATAAATATTAAAAAAAATTATTGCTTGTACCGATTCAGCAACATCGTCTCCTGAATCAGTAACCATTGGTATGTTTTCCATTCTTTGAGCACAGAAACAAGGTTTCTTAGCATCAGCTTTGGATGAATTTTTTCCTCAAGCAGTGTTGTGATGATTCCAAGGGTTCTGAGTTGAATTCATGGGGAATGGTAGAGAACTAGGAAGTGATTTAAGGACGGGTGGCTTACTCCTCTGCCTCCCTGGGAAATGGAAAGAGCACATTTTCCAGTTGTCCCAGCTTCTATGGCTGTGTAAAAAAATCACCTCAAAACTCAGTGGCTTAAAACAATGGAAATTGTTTTATTATTTATTTTCTTTGTGAATCAGAAATTCACAAAGTACATAGCTAGTCAGTTCTGGCTTGTGGCATTCCAAGCTGTTGGAGTTAGACAATGACTGAGCTAAAACAGGGGAGCTGGGGCCACTAGAGGCAGGTGGGCATCTCTCTCTTCATGAAGTCTCTGGAACTTTCTATGAGCCTTTTTATTATTATAGTAAGAACATGTTACACAAGATCTACCCTCTTAAAACTCTATAATATTACCTACAGGCACAAGGTCCTAGAGCAGAACTCTTATACTTATTTTGTGTAACTATATCCAGTCAATAGCTACTTCCCATTTCCCTTCCCCCAATGCACAACACCACCAGTGTACTCTCTTTCTGTTTGACTACTTTACATAGCTCTGGTAAGGGGAACCCTGTGGTGTTTGGCCTTCTGCAACTGGCTTATCCCACTCAGCATAATGTCCTCCAGGTTCAACTACGCTGTCATAATTGCTAAATAATATTCCTGGGTGTGTGTGCACATCTCACATTCTCTTTATTCATTCAACTGCTGATGGGCACTGGGGTTGCTGGCTATTATGAATAATACTGCAACAAACAGGGGAGTACAGATATCTCTTTCAGATCCTGATTTCAAGTCTTTTGCATATATTCCAAGAACTGGACTTACTACATCATATGGAGCTCTATTTTGAATTTTTCGAGAAATTTTCATACTGTTTTCTACACTGATTGGCCGATTTTATGTTCCCATCACCAGTGCTCAAGTTCTCTGATTCTGCCACGTTGTCCATGGTATTATTGATTTTCTGATTGCCATCCTGACAGGTGTGAGGTGGTATGTGACTGTGGCTGCGATCTGCACTTCCCTGATGATTCACGAGGCTAAGCACCTTTTCACACATCCAAGCCCTGTTGTAGGTCTTCCTGGTTTCCATGTTGAGCTATAGGTATTTCTTATGTACTTTGGGTGATGATCTTTTACCAGATACAGACTTGCAACTATTTCCTCCCATTTGGTAATTGCTTTTTTAACCTGTCGATTGTTCACTTTTCCACTTGGGATAATTTGCTCTTCCTCACAACATGGTGGCTTTGAGTTTCTATATTTTTACACAGTGATTCAGACTCCAGTGTTACTGTTCCAAAGAATAAGGTGGAGATTGCTTTACGCTTTCTGGCTTGGTTATGGAGATTGCTTATAAGAAAGTCACAAACCCTCTGAGACTCAAGGGGAAAGGAATTAGACTTCTACCTATTTGTAGCGGAGTGGCAAGGTTTAGGGCAATGTGTATAATGGATGGCAGAGGGGCCCTCCCCCAAATCCAAGTTGAAATCCTAGCCCCAATACTTCAGTGTGACAGTGTTTGGAAACAGGGTCATTGTAGATGTAACTAGGTAAGGTGAGGATGTGAAGGTGGGCCCTAACCCAGTGTCACTGCTGACCTTATAAAAAGAGGAAGTGTGGACATCAAGATTCACCCACACAGGAAACACCACACGAATGAAGGCAGAGAACAGGGTGAAGCTTCTATAAGCCAAGGAGGGTCAAAGCGCAGCAAACCACCAGGAGCTGGGAGAGAGGCCTGGAGCAGTCTTCCTCGCAGTCCTCAGAAGGAGCCCGCCCTGCCCACTGCTTGATCTCACACATCCAGCCTCTAGGACTGTGAGACAAACGGCTGTTCTTTGTGCCACTCAGTTAATGGGACTTGATTATAGCAGCCCTAGAAAGCTAGGACAAGGAGGGATGGGAAATCTTTGCAACCATTCTGGAAAATGCAGTCTGCTTCACAAATCATCAGAGAAATGTTTATATTTTCTTGATCCCCTTTTCTTTCAACCCTACCACCACCTGGTTTACATAAACTTACTGCCATCTCTCGAGTAGTTATTTTTAGTGCTCCTAACTTGTTTCTACTTTCTTGCCAAGGGAAGGGGGAGATACAGTTTTGAGTTGCGTGTATTTTCCACTTATGTCTTACTATTTTACAAACAAAATTTTCTTAATCTCTTTCTAGATTCTATCATGACAGGATCAGTGGAGAGGGGAGAAAATGATTTTCATTCACCTTGTCAACATTTTAACTTCACTGTGGCTCCTCTGGTCACCCACGTGGAGGAAAACAACACTACCTGTAATCTGAAAATGCACACTAGAAAATCAACGGTCACAGAGGAAGATCTGACCAGGGGAAAGTCTATAAATCAAACCTGCAGCATTATGGAATCTCTGAACAACTGCACACACATTTCTTTGTACCTAGAAATGGACCTAAAAAGTAAGTTTTTAAGGAAATTAGAGGTAATAGGACAAATCAGATATCGATATACAAAATTAAGTAAGGACTATCATTGGTTTACATAAACTTACTATAATCTCTCGAGTAGTTATTTTTAGTGCAGCTAACTTGTTTCTGCTTTCTGCTTTGCTGATTAGCCTCCTACTCACTTATTCTGGATGACTACAAGTAATCCTTTCTACCAAACAATGTGTCTCCAGTTTACCCATAACATCTCTTGGAGAACATCTTACAAAACAGTCATTGAATGAGTGCTTGCTGTATGCCAGGTAGTGCTCCAGGCATTGGGAAAGAGTCAGATGACCATTAAGACAGTGTGGAAGGGGAAGACACCACATGTAAACAAACAAGTACCTCCCATGCCACAGGTGCAGAGGGAGAGTCACTCGCTGTGCCTTCAGATATCCCAGGTACACGGAAGCCTTCACGATGGCTTTAGAGTGCTTTCCTAAAGATATAATTATTTTATAGCTAATTCTTTTTGAGTGTTATGTTTACTTTAAAGCAAACACAAATATATGATGTATACACTTTTAGGGCTAAATTTCTCCCGTGAGTTTGCCAAGGACCCTCTGGGCTCTGTGATTTGGGGGTTTCTCAAGGTGTGTGTGTGTGCGGGGGGTATGGAAGAGGATCTGAAGAGCAGGATCAGTTCTGTCCCATGCAGGAGGGAGGCTGGAAGGTGGCTTCTGGAAGGGCTGCCTCGAGCAGGTGACTAGAGTGAAATCTGAAAGAGAAGAGGTTTAGATTCTAGCTATGACACATTTCTCTTTGTTTCAATGTACGTCTGTGTGTCTGTTTGATTGATTTTTATCTTTTTCTCAAGTACAAAGTAAAAATAAGCACTTTCATAATTATGATTTTAAGATAATTTATTTTTGTGTGAATGGAAGGCATCCATAAACTCTACATTCAAAGTGAAGTGAAAGTGAGCAGCTTTTTGGGGAGTCTATAATCAGAAAGATAACAGTGATACACAAGTGTGTACTCTTGTATTCTGGAACAAGGTACCTCTGTTTTTGCATGTGCAGAGAGTTAAGGGTTTATTCAAGTTTTCCTCTTGTGCAAAGGCTACTTTGATCCCTTCCTTAGACACCCTCTCCATCCACATCTGGTTCAATCTGATAAATTTCCTCTGAAACAATCATTTAAACAGTCCCCTTGGATTTTATTCAGATTTCCATCTTCTCTTGCTCCTCGCAAAATGGCTACAGATCAGGGGGCCACGGGCATCGTGGATGTTGGGAGAAGAGCAGAATCCTGCTAAGTTCATGTCATTTCACTGTTTTATTTCACTGAGAAATGCAAGGTTGGCTGCTGGATAGCGTGGGATGAGATTGAACAGGCTAAGTGGTGCCATCCCTGTCAACCTCTGTCTGGTCTCTAGCAAGCCTCTGGTCCAAGTCGGTGTTGAATGCCTTCACAACACACATCTGGGGGCCTGTGAAAGGAATGCCCAGAGTGCAACCCCACAGAGGTAGTCATCCAAGGGTATAAACAAGGTATAGTCGTATCTTCTGCTAAGTTGAGTAAGCACTAGACATGTTTTGTATGCAAGGGTGGCTTAGGAACTCGTGCAGTTGTGTCTTGAACGTGATGAAGTCACGCTTGTTGAGGTCATGCATTCCTGGCTCTGCTGGCCAGCAAGTCTGCATGCAGGCCAAGGGAGACCATGCTCAGCTGTGGTTGCAGGCTGACCTTTCCTCCTAGGCTGCCTCACTGTCATCTGAATGGATAAGTGGACACTCAAATCCTTGTCACATTCAGGCCAGGGCAACTGTATGCTTCATTAATTCATATGCTTCATTTGGTTGTTGGCATGCAAGCCCCTGAGAGTCTGATGAGTCACCAGCCCTGGCCATTTGCGATCCTCAGTCTATCATTGTCTATGCCTGCCTTTCCCTCTCTTCCCCTTTCTCCTTGTACTCTCTGCCTCTTTGTTGATTGGAAAATGTATTTTTTGGGCTGCTTGACCAATGGCTAAAATTGTTAACTACAAATGGCTCCAATTCTGGAACACTTGTTGTTGTGGTCTTAACCTCAACGTAGTAATGATGCTGAAACTATTATCAGTACAACCTGTAAGAGAACTTAATCTCAGAATTTTGGAACTAATTGAATCTCTGGAAGTCACTTTGTCATGCTTCTTCATTTTGTTCCTTTTTTAATACATCAAGAAAGAATTCAGGAGAATTAGTGAGCCTATAACAGGACTATATATTCAGCTTTTCAGGTAAGAGTAGAATATATGGAACTCAACTATACCACATGTTTCCCTTGATCTCTTTCATCATTTTATAGTGTCTTCTTTTCTTTACAGATCTCATCTGTTCCATGAAGATCACTTGGTATGCTTTAGTTCTATTAGTTTTTGTAGTTTTGATCATCCTTATTATACACAAAATACGTGAAGGCCACAGAGTTCAGAAGTGGCAGAGTAAGTATTGAAAGTGAAGTCAGTTACTTGGATAATCATTTAGAGTTAAGGAACTCTTACGTATGGAGTTAATTTCTTTTTTAGTTCTATTTATCATCATTATGCACCTGCTGTGTGTAAGAGGCAATTCTAGGTAACCTGAGCCATTACTGCATAAGTCAGACACAGCACCAGCATTTCTCCTACTTGGACAAGTGAACAGGAAGGAGTCTGTGGGCTAGAGATTGAACAGGTACTTGGTGAAAGGGAAGGCAGAGAGAGGTAGAAGAGCAGGAGGTGGTGACAGAGAATTTCGGACTTGGAGACCTTGAGCGGAGTGGCTGCAGGTGATGAGTGTGAGCTGAGTCAGTCCTTAATTGTGGAGGTATCAGTAGATTTTGAGTTGGGGCTGTGTTAAATGTGTAGTTGGAAGTTAGGACAGTGGGGGCTTGTTAATAATATTTAGCAACTAGTAAGACAAGGAACCCACCTGTCAGGATGGAGTAAAAACTATTGTCATAGTGCTAGTGCTGTGTATCCATGCATATGCTGTCTTTATTGGCATGCACTCATGCATATACTGACCCGATGGGTGTGCACCCGTGCATATATGGGCTGGATAGCAGGCCTGATGGGCAGTTTGTCATGCAAATATTTGGCCCCTTAGAGATGGTATAAAATGTGTCTATGAGAAAAATATAAAGTACATCTATGAGGATAGACTTTAAAGACAGTTGGACTCTTGTTTGAGTCTCAGCACTATCACTTACTATGTGGCTGAGCAACTATTTACTATATCCGAGCCCACCTTCGCTTCTCTATAAAGCGAGGATAGCACCACCACCCCCGCCGCACAGAGCTGAGGAAAGGATAGAATTAAAAAGATTATTTAAGAAGCTTAAAGTAGTGCCTGGTACATAGTTAGTTCTCAGTAAGGGCTAGCAGTATTGTGGTGGTTGTATTAGATCCTAAAGCTCTTACGTTCTTGACCAGGAAAGGATGCAGCAGTCACGTTAGTAGGTAGAACCGTGGTTGTCTCTCCTTCCGAGTAAAGGTGCCAGTAATTCTTTGGACCGAGTATTTGTGGCAGACATTTCTTTTTTCTTTTTCTTTTTCTTTTTCTTTTTTTCTTTTTCTTTTTTTTTTTTTTTTTTTTGACAGGCAGAGTGGACAGTGAGAGAGAGAGAGAGAGAGAGAGAGAGAGAAAGGTCTTCCTTTGCCCTTGGGTTCACCCTCCAATGGCCGCCGCGGCTGGCTCGCTGCGGCCAGCGCACCGCGCTGATCCGATGGCAGGAGCCAGGTACTTATCCTGGTCTCCCATGAGGTGCAGGGCCCAAGCACTTGGGCCATCCTCCACTGCACTCCCGGGCCACAGCAGAGAGCTGGCCTGGAAGAGGGGCAACCGGGACAGAATCTGGCGCCCCTACAGGGACTAGAACCCAGTGTGCCAGCACCGCAAGGCAGAGGATTAGCCTAGTGAGCCGCGGCGCCAGCCCTTGTGGCAGATATTTCTAAGAGCTCTTCCAAATCAAGACTCTTCATTGGTACCTTAGTATCAAGCCATTAATGCAGTGCTTAACAACATCAACAGTATTGTATATTTGTAGAATAACCATTTTCATTAGATTCTCAGTGTGCACAAGAAGGGTTTATGCCATTATTTTCATTTTAGAGATGAAAAAAAAAAATGAAAACAAAAATCCAAGGCTCAGAGGTTAAGGGGTGTTTTCCAAAGCTGTATAGCTAGTAAGATATCAGAATCAAGACTTGGAATTTAATTTAAAAATTATTTTAAATAAATGCTATTTTCAAATAGTACATAATTATGAGTTCTCTCATCCATTCCCTCATATGACCACATATTTGCAAAGACAGATGGATGCAAGATAGGAAATGTCTAGAACAAGACCAGTAGTGAGGAGTCCCATTATATTCTTATGAGCATTTACATAAATGACAGATTTAGTGGCTTTCAAAGCTTTGCCTTGCAAATCTAAGCATATAAAGTCATGAGAAATATCACATCACTACTGACAATAAATACACAATAAATATTCTGTATATTATTATATCGATGTATGCAATAGCATACATAAGAGCTGGTGCAATTTTAGAGAAGGCATAATGGCACTTTTGGCAGCAGAGAAGCCATTGGTTCAAGAAAGAATCTGGATTTGTGAATGGAAACTAACTTCCTAAAGAGAGGCTCTCAGTGTCCTGGTGGCCCATTCTCTTTGGTCATCCTTTGAATCAACATGGGGACTATATGTTAAGAATGTGCTTACTTATTGCTAAATATTTATTTTCTTGGAATAGGTCAGAAGTACAAACCTACATCTGTTCTCTTACGGGAAAGAGATTCTGAGAAACTGAGAGCATTGAACGTGCGGGTTATTTCAGGTGAGTTCTGCGCCGTGCACACAGAGCCTGGCTCAGGGAACTCCAAAGCTGCACTGTCTCACCACGGAGTGAATGCAGGATCTGAGATCCAAGTTCGTTTAAATTAGCCTTGTCTCTGGAATAAAGGAGCCACAGGCAAATGAACTCCTGCTTAATCTGTCTTATTATCAGGGGACAGTTATGATCAAAACTACCTCTTTAAATAATGGAAAGTTTGCTTAATTGGCAAGAAGAAATTCATGTGAGTAGGCAGAGGAGAGAAAGCAATGAGGAAGAAGCCTCGGGTTTATTTTTAAATGAGACAAGATACCATTATTCCTCAGAACTGCAAGGCGTAATTGCAGAGTGGGCAGGGCTCTTTCCTGGAGCCTTTGCTCCGTGGAGGGTGTCACCATGCACAGAGGACTTCTAATAGCCCCAATTAAAAAGCCCCCTGTCCGCTCTTGGAAGCAGATGTGCAATAGGGGGATCCTAATTAGAGCAGCTCGCAGGCTGTGGTCCCATCTCCTCCTAATGGTGGAGCCTCCTTTTGCATTCAAGTTGTCAAGTCACATTACAAAGAAGGGAAGACAGGGGCAATGTGACAGGGACAAAGCCCTCATCTTCATCAAAGAGAAAGACTGTCCTTGACTCATGGAAAGTCATAGAGTCAGGGGCAAAGTTACTGAAGTTCTGTGTCTGCAGCCAGGTGCCTTTGTACTTAGTGAGAGGTTAGAAACGGAAGCTGCCACTCTTGCATGTAAACAATTTGCAAAAATGAAAGGAAACCACACAGGCCCCCAGGCCCCTGCTGCAGCTGCAGGTGCAGCCATAGCCACAGCCACATGGAGCTTAGCCCAGTCTGTCCTGGAGACCGTGTGCCTGAGGTTCTTGTGAACTACTTACATTAGCAGCTATTCAGATCCCCAGCTTGGGGAAGAATTAGGTTGGCTCACCTAAAGAGCTTACGCATTTTCAAAAACTTAGGCTTTCTACTTGGCATTGGCATAGAATGACTAATTAGGCCAGGACTAATTCTGAGTATTGGCTAAAGGATCACTTGATGGTAGTTACACATGGGGTGAGCTGGTGGAAATGTGCAGTGAAAATTTTAATAATAAAATAAAAGCCATAAAGTTATTTTAAGTGGAAAAATGAACTTTTAGTAGCAGAAACTCGTGTTTTCCTTTTCTTCCCCCTCACCTGTGTGCCTGGGCCAGGATGGTTTTAACCGAGCTTTGCTGGGTTTTTTAGTTACCTTAGGACTCTTGATCATTTGCTTTCAAGTCATAATTCTGAGGATCACAGGCTTGTCTGAGAAAAAGTGAATGGTTCCCCTGTCAACCATATAATTGGGGGAATCACAAATTTTAAGTGCTAGCTAAATGCGAGACTAACCTCACCCAGGAAAACCTGTCTCAGCCATCTTTCTCTTTAATAGCACTCACTAAAAATCCTCTGGCTTTATTACCAGGTATATAATATTAATGTGCAGTGTAGGCCAATGGGTGATGGCCTTTAAAAAAAAAATCCAGAATTCTTCAGAGGCTTAAGCACCTTAAAAATAAGCAGATTCTTCCTTCCTTATATTCCTTTAACCTTAATGTAATTCTCTCTTCACTCTAAGTTGCTCTTTCTGAGAGAGAAATGGAAAGGCAAGAATGTCTCCTCTGAGTGCCATTTGTAAGGCCTCTCTTTGTACTGATGGCTTATAGGCAGCGGGGGAGAATGTCAGGCAGAAATGTGCCATTGTTGTTCCCTGGAAATGCAGGAACACGCGTCCCAGACGATGTAGCTCACAGAAACAGTGAGGCTGTGTCGCACTCAGTGCTCAGTTTGTCATTGAGGCTGCCTGTACATTCCTGAATCTCCCTCCAGTTGTTCATGTATTACAAAGTAAGTATTGTTATGTACATATGCACAGTGCAATAGCTAGGCTGCTGCCCTCCCAAAGAAGTGTATTCATCCTGCGAGAGAGAAATAAGGAGGGATTACCAGGATGCCGGCAGTGCGCAGTGCCCGGCACATGCCAGGAGCATGGTGAACCCTGAGATAAGTCTCACCCCTGCAGAAAGGGTTGGCACAGAGCATCAAATCCCAGTGCTTTATACGCCTCTGCTGTTTTCCTCTTTGCTTTGAGAGACACGCTGGCTTGGGTTACCTAGCTTGGCAGTAACTAGTTTACATCTTACTCAACTATCAACTTCACATAGGGGATGACTCTGTCTCGTTCATCTTTGGATCTCTGTCCCCAACATGTCATCTGGCCCGTGATTCCATGCGCAGTCAGAGGTGATTAAACCTCACCTACCCTAAGGGGGAAAAGTACAGAGTGAAAAAAAGCAGAGGAACAAGAAGTAAATCTTTGGGGTTGGGAAAGGGAAAAACAAAGGAAGAGGAAACAAAGAATAATTGGAATATGATTTTACTTCATTGAACAGAAGGCACACTTCATAGAATTGCTAAGGATAGTAAAGAGAAAGGAAAACCACTGGCCGTTTAGAGGAAGGGATTTTGAGAACTACGCAAAAGTAACCTTCCAACATATCCCTAGAAACAATGTGCAATGGGGTGACCACTAGAGAAGTCGCAGGAGGAGTGCACTAGCAACTGAAATTGAAACCAGCTTGGCTGACCGCAGAAAGGAAATTTCTTGGGCAATCAGTAGGCAGCCCACAGAAGTAACAGGCACATTAGAGAATCTGGACAGGAGACAAGAAACAAGAGTTGAGAAGGATCCAGAAGGCAAAAGAGCAGGCCAAGAGGCACCATGGGAACAGTCTGGTAAGAGTGCCCCCTGCTAGTGTCGCTCCTCTCTCTCAACTACGGGGCTACCTTTGGGCCCCTGGAGCCAAAAGTCTTGCAGAGAGATGCAAGAATCCCAGGGAAAAGGTATCTAAAGGAGTGTGTGTAAAGTCACAGACTGGTACACCAGGTACCAGGAAGCAGGGAGAGGAAAAATCTACTCCTCTGACTTTCTGCATACTTGAGATGGCCCCTTAGATGTCACGTGCTAGATACTGCCAGTGAATAAATGCGTATAAACAAGCTTCCACTCACTCCTGATGCAGGGGTCAGTGAAGGGGTCATTTTGTGTCTCCTCTCTATGTCCATCAAAAATGGTAAAATCTCTAAAACCTTGCAATTCTTCTCCTTTACCTATGTACCAAAAATGTATCAAACCCAGGCCATGGGCCTCCCATTACACTAAGCCGTGGCGATTCAGGGATACCCTACCCCCTACATATGCATGGGCAGTCCCTGCCTTCATAGCGCTCCCAACATCATTAAGGGGATTCTAATTGTGGTTGCCTTAGGACCAAGCAAACTAGTGTCTCCATAGGCAACTTCTGTATGCACTGTTCTTTCACACATGTCATTTCATTCTGTTGCATAAGAACTTCACGAAGGGACAGAGTTTAAGTAACAGGTTCACAGCTCCCTCTTAGTAGAGTGAAACTTACTTCTGTCTCATGATGCACTTTGTAGCACACCGCTTACTGGCAACAGTGAGCCAGGGATCTGCCGGCTCAAATCACCAATCAAGTCTTCTTGCTCTTTTACACTGAACCCTAGAAACTGAGATGAAACATTTCCCCTAGATAAGATTGTAGCCACTTGTGTGTGACAACACGGCTCAGTGGCAAAGAAACATTTCAACCTATGCCGAAATGCTCGCAGTTAATGTAGGCGGGTTCTGAGGGAACATAATGCAAAGAGAGTGGAATTTTATTGTGCAAGAGAACCACTAAATGTCAAACATAAGTGGATGACTCAGTCATTTCTATTACCCCCCAAATAAAACTAATGGCAATGTAAAATTATAATGTGAAACGTGTTTGTCACCAGTGTAATAAAGTCTGAGCAGGTTTCAAGTTCCTGCAGAAGGGAAGATACATTACTGGTGCCAGATGTTCGGCAACCAAGCAAGATAACATGAAAATTTAATTTTTACTTGCTTAACTGTAATATTTATGATTCTTAAAATACAGATCTGGGTTCATAAAACAGGAAAGGTTACAGCCATCTGCTTGGTTACAGAATAGATCAAAATGCAGAGGGTGACTCTCTTTGCAGGAAAATACGCCTAAGTATGACGAATCCACAGGCGGAATAGGATGATGTATTCTGCTCATTCACTGAGCACCTTCATGTGACAGCCACATACACCAGGCCCGGAAGAATTACGGCTGCAACACAGCACACGGACATCTCCATCCCTCCCCAGCCAGTCCCTGCCTGAGCTGTCCTGCTTCCCTGCCACTCCCTCCCCTCATCCTGACTTGGTCCAGATGGCTGCAACCCTTCCTTTCTGCTCTTGGCTTAACTAACGCTTCCTAAGGCCCATGTCCACTCCTCTTGTTACACACCCTTTAACACCCTTTGCAGCAATGATCACTGTTGCTATTTTATATTGTTTTGTATTATGATTTGATTGATGTCTCCCCCCAGCCAGTAAGCTCCTGGAGGACAGCATCCCAGATCACAGCATAGTGCACCCACAAGGGTACCTCAAAACATTCATGGAAAAACAGAATTAAACTGTATTTTAGTGCATTTTTTTCACAATTTACATTTTCCACGAATCATTTGAAGGCCTCTCATATGCATAGATTTCAAAATATTTTGCACCGAAATAAACTAATTGTTTGATTCCATTTTCCATGAACATTTGAAGTACCTGCCCTCACACACGGCATTCAATAAGGTACTCAAAAAGCATTTGCCTGTTGAAATAATGACTGCTCGTGGTGTTTCGCAAAGACTTTTCAAACACTTCTCCACCCTCCTAAATTCTAGCTTTGAATTAATGCCTGTGCACAACAATGAAAGGACAACGCTACACATGATGCCATCAGGCTCATTTCTTGGGGTATGAAGGCTATCTGTGGGGTGATTGTCAGGAGCTCATGGCTGGCAGTGTTGGTCAGTTCCACATGGCCTTTTTTTTCTCCTTAGTTGTTAACGCTAGATAATTTTGTAGTCATTTGTTTCCTCTCCTCATTTGATTTTCACGTGGA